TTTTTTAACATTTTAGCAATTTAAAAATATTAAAAAAGGATTTTTTACGCGGCACCCCGGTTGGGAAACACTGTTTTAAATAATGCCGCGAGTGGGGCTTGAGGATGTGACGTCGCCTGCGTCTGCGCAGTGTGACCTGATGCAGACACAGGAAACAGAAATACTGCAAAATAATAATAATAATAACGCGAGTAAACGAGACGAAATAACGTTATAACATTTCGTTTCGTCTCGTTTTGGTCAACGAAAATGAAGAGACATTTTAGCATAGTTTTTATTTTGTAAACCACATTTAGTCTCGTTTTTATTCGTCAACGATATTGCATTATACATTTAATTATAGTCATCGTCACATGACCAGCATTTTCGTCTCGTCTCGTCTCGTCTCATCTCGTTTTCGTCACGTAATAAAGTTTCGTTGACGACGATATTTAGTCGTAATTTTCGTTGACGAAAGCAACACTACTTACATATGCACTTTTGCATGTTTGTCTGACTAATATTTGTTCTCTTTCAGAATGCTGTTTTGTGTGCTTCCCAATGCACTGCTAACGCCATGCATGACGGTGAGAAGTTCTGCCCTGTGAAAATGTAAACTTATTTCAAGCACTCACATCTCCGCTGGCCAGGAAGAACCTCCTCCACCTTGTAAACGGACAGACGGGACACACCTCCACAGATGGCGCCCTTCTCACCTTTGCAGTCCAAGTTACACTCCTCCTCTTTCATCCGAGCGCTTGTGATGCGGTTGCCACAGTAACACTCGGACCCATATTCAAGGCCAGCGAACTGGTACCCACTGTATAAAACAAAACATTTAAAATCTAATTATACATAGAAAATACTGGCCAGCGTGGATAAATAACAATAATATTTATAGCTCAAATCTCTAATTTCTTAATACAAAACAATATTAAATTTGTCATAATAAAATAAATGTTTATGTTTTACTTATGTTTTCAAATGATCTAATATAGGTCTAATATAATAACTGATTTTTGAACTGTATTTAAAGGAGTGCAATTCCTATGTTGATTTTTCCTGAAAAGAGACTGTTGTTCTATCAAAACATCCTTGTTTCAGCATCCCAACCACCTTTGCACAGCAACACTGACTCGACCAAATGCATCAGCTGGGGGCGAGACAATCTGTTTGAACAGCCAATGGTAAACAGGGTAAGTGTTTGGGAGACCTTTTAGAAATCAACCAATGTTTTGGCGACATTAAAGCTCCGCTGCCAGACTATGAAAACATTTGTTTAGAACTTTTTTGGAAGGTTTTTGCTTGTAAACTGTGCTTGATCTGTGCATATTTCTCTCCCGATTCAGACAAGATGACTTTTTCTCTGTAGAAATCAATATTATGTATAGAGGACTTGTATTTTAGCCACAAGCCACGGTTTGAAGTTAAAAATATCTTAATAAATTTATTACAAACATGCAGCTTTTCATTTCATAAGATGTCAATTGATGGACTGGAGTCGTGTGGATTATTGTGGTGCTTTTATCAGCTGTTTGGACTCTCATTCAGACGGCACCCATTCACTGCAGAGGATCCATTGGTAAGCAAGTAATATACTGTTAAATTTCTCCAAATATGTTCCAATGAAAAATAAACTAATTTATATCTTGGATGGCCTAAGGGTGAGCACATTTTCAGCACATTTTCTTTCTTGGGAGAACTGCATGTCAGTGCATTCTTTGATTCTCCAAGAAAAGCTCTTACACTTTGTAACTCACACTAAATCCCTTTAAAAAAGATCAGACCCAGTAGGGATTCTACTAAAGTCCACCAGCATCTCTCCGGGTCTACTAAAGTCCACCAGCATCTCTCCGTCCATCCCTGGGTGTGAGCAGGGGCGGATTTAGTGAATTGGGATTCCCAGGCAAAATATAGGA